GGTAATGGCATAAGTATGTATATTCAGTTGCCGTCAGTAAGAAGGACGCTATGCTGTAAGCAAAAGGAATACAAACTCGCCAATCTACACCCCAGCCGATCTATATTATCTCAATATGTAAAGGTTATTTGGAGAAATGTTAGTAGAGCTTTGAGACATGTATTGTGTAAAAATAATGTATTTCATGTTCATGTATGGTGTTTAGAAGACATTTCAAGTTTCCATTGAATGCATTGCCTATATGAACATTTCAACAAATTCTACGCATAGAAGGTTGATCAAAATTATAAAAACGTTATCTATAAAAAAAAATATCAAATTTCTTTTCTTGCTACTACACGTGAAAGTTCCAGTCCGATTCTAAATTGTTATTATTTATAATAGTGTATTCTACTGGGTCAGTTATTCAAAACAAATTCACAGCAAAAGTTCTTAATATTACAACACGTTTTCAACAGATTTACTCAATATTAAGAAAATAAAGTTCAAAGAAATATTTTCGCTGAACGTTCGAAAACGTTATGATACTTAATGACAATTTTGAAAACCTTTTTGTTTGTAGATAACTTGAGGTTCTATTTCAAAAACCAATTATTTTCATTGGATTTCAGAGGCATTTAATACTTCAGGTAAGCATTATGTCGTTTCATTTTCATGTGTATAATACTATTAATATAGAGGATCTAGAAAGGGAAATGGAAATAATTAATTTTCTATACTGAATTCTTTGTACGACTTCAGTAAAATTATATGTACATAATACGAGCTTCAACGAGTTCAATAATTATGAAGCCATAGGAATATAATAATATATTTATTTTATGCCCAAAAAACAAACGTTTACAGTAATAAAAATATCATGTTTTATTTTACGCTTTATACAGGTAATACATTTAATATGACCACGTTATATTTGTATAACACACATGACGCCAGGTCAAAGTATATGCCTGGCCGTACCATAATGTGTTTACGAAGTCATGGTCAAAGCGGCAAAAAAAAGTCCATGTGATAAAAATACTTAAACTTTTATATATCATTTAATCTTCATCAAGAAGTAACGTTGTAAACATAATGACTGTCTAATTTATAATCAATGTCTGATTTTTCAAAAAGCGTAATGTGAATCAAATCATGTATAAATAAAATAAAGAAATACCTTTATGTCTTTTGGTAAACGTTTCTTAAATGGTATATCCAATCTCCAAATTAAACACAGTTTACAACACCTTATTTAATTCATGAATCAATCAGGTCGCCTTTACGTGTTTGCCACTATGTGAACCGATAGACATTTATGACAGTATCTTCAATATGAAAAAAAATGTACGACAATGTCGTCTGAATGTATGATTTCTAATAATTGAACAAAAAACAAGACTGATGATTTATACGTTGTAAGCTTCAGCAATGCAAGCTGTATTGGAAAGCTATGGATACGCTCAGACAGTAGGCGTATTCCCTGACATTGAAAACGTTCTCGAATTTCATTTTCCGGATAAAATAATAGACGATGCAAATTATCTCTAAATTGGTCGATCATTCTATATAACTCTGATGAATAGAATCCGATGGAACGAAAAGTTTTTGAATAGATATTAATTCCTTCTCTTATGTGCTAAAATTCTAAATCAATTACTTAACTGTAGTTTTCTAAAAAAAAATGCGAGTAATGAACGACTAAAAATCGATTGCAAGGTGATTTATTTGTGGCACAACACATGGTACTTCATTTGCATTTATAGCAATTCTTAACATAAAATTAATAGTGAACACTTTTAAATTGATATAGAAATAAAAATAAATGATAAAGATATATGTCTTGCTTATACAAACTTACTTTCCAGATGTGATCATTTAAACCCCTCATTATTCTGTGTATCAAAATTGAAAACAAAGTGAGATAATATACGGTATCTTTACTATAAGTAACTGTCTTCGTTATCATCGCAGGTTTTACAGAAATGAAATAGAAGATAAATTATCTATAGATTATACATTTCAAGTCTGTAGAAATATTTCCGGTAACCCGGCTACAAGAATAACCCGAATACATACTCGAGTAATGCAACCGTATTCGTTGCAAATTTGGTTTAGTTAAATAGATCAATTCGCGTGAAGCTTTGCTTCGAACATTGTTAAAAATGCGTTCTTTTCACTTGTTGGATTTTAGATACGATCTTGACATTAGTGTAAAAAAAAAATTCTTTAATATTTTTGCAATATAAAACAGATCAGTTTACATCAAAAAAAAATATTCTCCATTATCAAAGCAGCTTGTAAGATGATGGTATCGCCTAAATTGTAATAACAGAAATAAACAAATGGTAAAAGTGGTAATTTTTAACTATAGAATAAATATGTAAAGCATAATTTTTCTTCATTGGGGAAACCGTGATCAAAATTGTTCATACTTATTGAGGCAAAATAGTCCAAGACGTACAGATGTCTTAGCGCGTTTTTTTGTGCATGATATGACAAAAGGTAACAACTAAAATTTTATTGCAACAGGTACACGTTTTTGAGTCACTTATTCATGGAATCCGTGGTGTTTGTTCCCTTATCTAAAATTACATACCAAAATTAATCAATTTATGATTATTTTTTTAAATCGTCTCATTGTTCTTGTGATTTTTTTAATCTTTCTCGATCATTGATTATTGATTGATTAATATTGATATCTTTAATAATCGAAGACTGCTTTAGCCGGTGCTAGAGAGGAGTCGTGCGAGGAGTTACACTTTTCACCACATCTTATGACAGTCAGCGATTTTCACCTTATAAATGAGCATTATGTTATGATAAAACCCCTGCATATGCTTGAAATAATTTTCAATTGATGATTTGTTCTTTGAAATTACAAAAATAGAAAATGCTTCATTCTCTCTGATTCTAATATGTTCGGTTCCATGAATATTCCGGTTTTGTTTCATTGAACTTCTCAACTTTATGGCTGATTTTGATATTGTTCATACAGTGATAAATTAATGCTGTCTTTATTGATTTTAATCAAGCAAAAATAAATCTCATTTTTTATCCACCGTTATCTTTAGCAACACTGGTTATTATACCTTCTTTTAGAATCAATGGAATTAAATTCTATTCCTATATCACAGATAGCACGATCGAACAAAAAAATCTGTACAGCAATATTTTCAAATGATCAAAGTTTCAGCTCATGAAATATTTATAGCTTTATATATTTACATTTGTTAACCCATACAAAGAAGAAACATAAAGAGAAAAAAAGGAGTGTTAAAATGTTCACAATGGCACTGAAGAACACGCTAATGATGACGCTATTAGACATGCTGTTTTTTTAAATGTGCTTGTCCAGCTTCCATTTTTTGAAGCTATTAATTTTAAGGGTATATGAAGATCAAAGTGTAAAGTAAGTAGGCCTACAGTACAGAAAAATGAAGGTTGATGTAACCAAAGACAAATCACTTTCAATGGTTTTGTGGAGGTTACATTTGCAGTTAAAGCCAAAGACTAATCACTTTCGGTTCTATCCAGTAGGTAGCATATACAGTTAAAGCAAAATCTTTGGCAATCCCAAAATATTTGTAATGATTGATAATACTATTAAAATAATTTATGTCATACATTGTTTCAATAAATCTTGGAGTAAATGTATATAGATATGAATAAAAAATAATACGAAAACCAAAATAAAAGATATTATGTAATAAAAGAATTTTACATAGTATTGCAAATCAGCAAATGAAAATAAAATACAACACATCTTAAATTTGTAAAGCATAGAATATGTAAAATTTACTTCAGATATAGTTTTAGTGTTAGGTTACATAATATTGTGAAATATCACAGAACAATCCATTCCTTTGATTTTAAAGTTGATATTCTCATTATTAGATTCAATATCATATGAATAGACTGAATAATGTTTTAAACAACGTGATTTTATTGAATGACTCACGCACATTTTGTTTGAAGTCAGCTTGTCTTTACTGACTTGATCAAATAAGAAATCTCAGATCTCAGTATTTTAAGATAAGAATATCAAAGAACAGTATTTTCATACTGTAGTATTACCATTTGTCTGTCTGTAAATATATGTCCATATAGTTTGATTGATTTTGCAAATAAAATATATCCAAATATTTGAAGATATATTACAATAAAAAAAGAAATGCACATGTATGTACAGTCACTTGTTTTATTTCGCAGAAATCTGTGTAACGCACCAATAAATGTGTTAAAAGGGTCTTGCATAACGAAATATTAAATCACATTAAAACCTAGGCACACATTTTATATATCCATTTAATATACACAATTCGTTGATGCTTCAATTTTTCTATTGATTTTCGCTCAACTTATCGGGAAGAAAGAACTTGACCCAAGCAGTGTCCAAGCCAGTTCCTAATTGAAACCCTAAGTGCGATATACCTGAACTGGCTATTTAATCAGTTAGCACTTGTATACCACTATGAATGGTTGAAAGATGATATTCTATAAGCACTATCGCATATTGTTACACACTGATTATCACATTTCAGAAACAGTAATTCTACCAAAGGACTAATTAAGCAACCAGATCTAACGTAGCGTAAACGCACCGACCCTACAATTTACATTGACGATCATTAAATTTAAGAACGGCAACATGTTTCGCCATTATGATGATTTTTAGAAATATGAAACAATTAAACCTCAATTCCTACCATACCTTACATTTTCTGGAATGTTGCTCTATAAATATAATTGCGTTAACCTTATTTATTATTATTTATCGCGTAGTTAATAACTATCATGTATGTACTCCCAGCTAAATGGATCTAAAAGCTTTTATTACAAAAGGTCGATGGTCCTACCCAGGTGTATGCTTGAGCCTGAATTAATGCACGGAGGAGGACGTTGGTTTATTCACCACTGTTTGACTTAAAACCTAACGGAGGCAAAATAATTATATATAATATTATTGTTTCAATTTTTGGTAAAGTATCTTCAAATAACAACAAAGAATACACACTCACCTGTCAGTTACTTTAAATGCATATATTGAAGCAAAATTGTAAATCCAAATTTTACTGTATTTGAAAATAAATTGAAAGTATACTTTCAAGACTTATTTACTTGAGACGCAATAGGTACAAATTATGATTTGTATTTAACAGTATAACTTTCCACTACGTATATCACATATTTCATGAATATTTATGAATGCCTATGGAATCATAATGTTCACTGTATATTTATATTCAATGAAAGCATTGCGCCATAATCAATAGCTATACATGATATTGGAAACTTGAAAAAAATTTCGTCTGCTAATTGATTCCATTAAACTATGTCACCGTAATCCATTATTTGCGTACTAACAAAAGTGCCACTTATCACGAGACACATGTTCTGGTTATAATTTCTGTAGAGAGAAAAAAATCTTTGTCAATCAACTGAAATTAATTCTTGATGGAATAAAATTAATTTGAGTCATCGCTATGTAATAAACTTTCATATTAATGACATTGCAAATTTACACTTGAAATAAATAAATACAGCCGTATGTGAATCTAATATAAATGGTACAAAATGTACAAAACATGTTTTTATGTTTTATTCTGCTCTTTGCCGTTTAGATAACTTTTCTAATACGCATAATTAAACTGTAATTGTATATGTAAATATAACTATAAAAAACAGCGAATCACACATTACATTCTAAAACACTCCGATAGAATGTTCAAAATTTGAAAATCAGTTAAATTGATTCGAAATTCTTAGAGTTTGGTTAACATTTAAATAAGCGTTTTTAACCATTACAAAAACAGTTGACGGCATGATTGTTCTGCGGACGACAAAAGTACTTTTATCTTTTGTGATTGTGTTTAACATCTGATGAAATATTTGTTATGCAGACTGCGATACCTCTATAGTATAGATAGGATTGCGATTTTTTGTACATTACGGTATTTGAAAGTGTTCAATCCAAAAGTCGATTCAGTCAATATTTGCGAAACTACGGCTTCCAATTTACATTGAATCATCAACAACCCTGTTTTTCTAAAAACATGAAACTCCAGAGAGCGAAACGGGCAAAGTGTTATCGACATTCAAGTTTAATATCACAGTAACCAGATTTATCGGAATACCAAACCACATTGCGGATACTAAAATGCATTCGTTAGCATGATAGTGTCAACATTAAAAGCTAAATGCAATGAATGAAACCCAAATCTCTGAAATAAAAACACGTTTATATGTGTAGTGTTTTGTATTTGTTTTCACTGCCTTTTAATGTTTAAACATTTTTGTGCGTTAATAAATGAAATATTTATTAAGCCTGCATTGCCTTGTTTTGTTTTTCACAAACAAAAAAAAATAACGCGTTCAAATATTATTAGCGTTGATAATCAAGTTTGCATGCTTTGTTTTGTTTGTCAAAAAAAGAGCAAAAAATAACAAAATATCGTATTTAAATTCAAAAGTTCATAAATACATGTATAGAAAAATAAGACCTGAAATATCAAAGTATATATCTCAAGTTGTCGTTATGTTTTGTATTTCAATACAAGCGTCACGCCGAATAATTACAGGGATGAAACGATCTTTTCTAAAACACGATAGCGTGTTAGTCAATTATTTACATTAGCAAAAACTGTCAATAACAACTAAAAGAAATAATGTTTATAGTTTTCATTATTCTTAAACTAGCAATATTATCTACACATTTAATACTTTGTCTTGATCAATTCATTTGGTAATAGAAGAGTTTTTTTCTCCTCATATTTTCTATCATATGGAAACATGAGAAAAAAAGAAAGGAATTATAACTCTTAGAGCAGCTTTCGAGATATAAGCATCGATTTCTTACAATTATTTAAATGTCATGTCATAGAGAAGAAAGATATGAGAAATCTAAACACGGTTATCAATTTGAAATGAAAATTAGTCGCGAAGATTTACTAGATTTACTATGGTTCTTAACATTTTCCCCAGATGTTAAAAGTGCAAGTAGCATTGTCTCCGGAAAATACGACTATAAAACATGAATAAAACTTTAGGTGTATAGTTACGATGTGGGTTGATCTTAATTATTGTGCCGATAGAAATACATTTATGAATATCTTGGAAACTGGAATGAGCAATATATTAATACCGCTGTGCCAAGGATATTTGTTTGGTTTGTTCTGGATTTAACACATATTTTAACATGCAAATGATATTTCATTCAATAGAAAGCGTGAATGTAATGGAACAACTCGGGGTTTTATATACATGTATTTCGATAGTGTTTAGAAATGCCAACTGAAATGTTTAAAGGCTTGACTGTTGTCATAATATGGTATTTGTTTGGTTTGTTCTGGATTTAACACCTATTTTAACATGCAAATGATATTTCATTCAATATTTTAAATAAGAAATCTACAATGCTCTTTTATATTATTTTATGAGGTGATGCAGACGCATGCTCTGTCATACGAAGAAAAGGGTTCATCATTTTCTCAAACTGACCTATATAAAGTAATTATAAGGATTTTTTGTCTGTCCATTATATATTTCTGGCGAAATGCACTAAAATTTAAATTTAAAAAAAGTTGTACAATTATATTCTTTTCATACTTTCTCGATTACAAAATGTATGTCTGGAGAAAGTTTAAACGAAAAGGTGACCCTGCTCAAACGTTTCCTGGCAAATTCTTCAATTGATGTTTTTAGAAGCTTAATGTTGAGTATGCAACAACGGCTTTGTCTTAAAATTGCACTTTCCGATTAGTTATTATTAAGATTCTAAAGCCCAATATACACTTTAAAACCGTTCCTGTTTTCATTGGCTACTTGTATTTTATATTTCCTACTCAAATGATTTTATAAACATTGCAGAAAATGTGCATTTTAATAAAAGACAATGTATTGTAAATTTCGAGCAGAAGTTTTTAGAAATACATTTTATAAGTCAGAAACCAACGGCAAATCAACATGTGTACACTAGTAACAAACGACAAAGACCATTTTGTGATGAAAACTGATCGCAATTATTTCAGCCACATGTATTGGTATTAAAGTTCAGTTTAATTAATTAAAGAAGGTATTGTTTCAAACAAAAATATATCGATACCGGCAACGCAATGTGAAGTATCTTTGTGCAATAAATTGTATCAATTCAAAGTTATCATTGTTATGCAAATATGCCAATATTAATTTCGCACATATGACTCTTCAAGTGTTTGTGAAAATCTCAAGGAATTGTTATCAATGACAATCTTATGATATCAAATTATGATACAATAACCTTTATAACCGGTATAAACATGTTACTTTGTAAATATTTGCAATATGGCAAATCACAGAGTCTTTGAAGAAATGTTTGATGCGAAGTTATTGTACAATGCAGTAACGCATGAAAACAACTAATATAATAACAATGTTCAAAAGGAGAAATAGACAAATGATTTGATTGCAACGTTTGTATAATTTTTTGAAAACTATTATTTTCAGACATTCCAGAATAAAATGCACCTTCACTATTAATGTTCGGACGTGAGATCAAACAATGAAATTGAAAAGAGATTGAGTATATCCCCGATATTAACAATGATTGTTCAATACCATAGCTCCTCCCTTTTGCATATTGTTAATTATGAATATCAATGTTAATGAAACAAGAAATCAAAATTCTTTGAAATTTCTTTAAATGATTTCAGTCGAATACAATGACTGATGCTAACTGAAAATTAAAGGAATAAAAATGTAATAAAACAAGAATCAACTTCATAGTTTCTTTCCTTCCTATTTTTTCTGTTTCTAAGTAAAGAAAGGTTTTCTGTCCACATTATTTTGATCAAATTCATTACACTTCTGTAGCATTTTTCACACAAAAAATAATGTCACTGGTTGTCACGCAAGTCTTGTTCTTATGACGTCGCTGGTTCTGCTTCACGCTTGTCATGCCATATGGCATCACTGGTTGTTTTTCACACCAGTCAAGTTTATATGACATCACTGGTTGGACTGCACGCTAGTCTTATGAAGTCATTGATTGTATTTCACGCCAGTTATGTCCATATGACTTCACTGGTTGGATTTCACGCTTGTCTTATTCATATAACGTCACTGATTGCCTTTTACGCTAGTCAAGTCCATATGGATTGACTGGTTTTGTTTAACGCTAGTCAAATCCATATGACGCCAATGGTTATATTCCACGCTAGTCTTGTCAATATGACGCCACTGGTTGTATTCCACGCTAGTCTTGTCAATATGACAACACTGGTTGTATTCCACGATAGTCTTGTCAATATGACAACACTGGTTGTATTTCACGCTAGTCTTGTCAATATGACAACACTGGTTGTATTCCATGCAAGTCTTGTCAATATGACAACACTGGTTGTATTCCACGATAGTGTTGTCAATATGACAACACTGGTTGTATTTCATGCTACTCGAGTCCATATGGCATCACTGACTGTATCTTCACTGTAGTCAATTTCATTTGGCGTCACTGGTTGTTTTTCACGCTAGACAAATCTAAATGACGTCACTGTTCTATGTCATGCTAATATTGTCTATATGATGTCAGTGGTTGTATTTCATGCTAGTTTGGTTGTATTTAATGCTAGTCTTGTCCAAATGACATCACTGGTTATATGGTTGTAGTTCGCGCTTGTCAAGTCCAAATGACGTCGCTAGTCTTGTCTATACAATATATATCATTATGCCTATTTTTGTTTTGTTAATGTTTAAGTCGGTTATCAAAGCATTATATGAATATCGTATGAAAATAGTTTATAAATTTTCTGGTTCTTTGTTGTTGTTGTTGATGATGATGATGTCGAAGTGGTTGTTGTTTGTGATGTTCTCTTTTCTAGACAAAATTGCAAATAATGAACCACTGAGCTTAAATGAAATTCGCACTGTCACTATGGCTTTTATTATAATTGGTTTTCGTCTGCAGTGCAGGGCAAATAAAAATAATTTGTTCTCTCACGAAACATAACAATTATAATAATCTGAAAGTCGATTCGGTAAATATTTGTTTCAATATAGAGATAAATTGATTTGCATTTGTATCTTTAACGTTTTTGTTACAGCTGTTTGTAAACCTACAAACACTCTGAAATAATATGTCCCCTACAAGTCTGTGAAAGCAAATTATTAAGTGAATATTTATCTGTTTTATCCCGATTGACACAGTTTTCATGACGCAACGCAATGTTCGACCTTGTTTTTCCAAGATTTGTTTTATAAGACTATCAAAACAATACATTTCTATTATTTTTTATCGATATTTAAAATACTTATGGTAAATGTGACCATTGTAGACCAATCCACTTTTAAGATAAAAGCTGAAAATTTTGTAGTTGAATAAACACATTACGTAATTGCTTTACTCTGCCAATAGGAAACAAATTGCTGAGATTTTCATTCAAATTTAGTATACCAGGATTTCCCCCCGAAGAGAAGCATGATAAATGAACACTAATGAAAAGCTATCACTAGTAGTTTTGAATTATTGGCTTGTATTAAATTGAAAATATATGTGAATTCTAGGAGACCATATGTCAATCTCCTGTAAAAATTAGAGGGAAATCAATTATTTACGTTCCAGCCAAGATGCAATGTCACTGACATCACGTGATTTCAATGTAAGACAATTGAGATATCAAAATAAAATAAAGGCAGCCATTAATCATGTATTTTGGTCTGATATCTTCTCTATTTCAATCTGATTTATCGATTAGACAAAGTCAACAACAGCGCATTTTCTTGACGTTGTTGTTTAT